GGTCTGGTGGTTCCTCGGTTATCGCTCCTCCATTATCGCTCCTCGATCTTCCGGCAGAAATAAGCGCCATGGGACGCTACTCAAGATGGCGCATACAAATCAACTTCCGGTGGACCGAGAAATTAAAATAACCGACCTGAGACGCAGCCTAAATCGCAGTCTGTTCTTCTTCTCTCGGTTATCACGCAGTCTGTTTTCCGGTTATTGCCTCTTTTGAATGACGAATACACACTACCGCCGCCTGCTGGTAAGAAGAGTTATTGCCACTCACACATGCGCAGTTCGTACGTGCTTCTTGGCCGTTGGCTGAAGTCTTTGCGGTGTGTTCCAATGCGACACATGACCAAAACGCAGAGACGACGCAACAGTCGGTGTCTGTGTCAGTTCTCTATTGGTGTGTCCGGGCCTTTAGGGAAGCAGCCCCTGCATGACAGGGAGAGCAACAACAAGGAGTTCAGTTAAAGCATACTGAAATCTGAATTAAAAAAACCATCTAAAGCATGCTAAAAGTGTATGAAGATATATACAGTATATAGGCTAATGATTTTTAGAGATGTCATAAAACACATTGATTATGTTTCCCTGTATATAACACAAATGGCTGTTTACCATGAATGTAGATTAATTGCCTAACAAAATGGATGTTACAGAAGGCTACATATTGACCAAGATGAATGTTGCTACTCAATTATAGAACAAAGAAGCAAAATGCCATTGAAATGCACTGATGATAATTAATTTCATATGTCATTGCCAACAATGGGCTGTGTAAGTTTCTCAAACCGAACATAGCCTCATACATTTAACAACAAAATGATTTATAATGAAAATAAAACATATTACATTCTGCAGACTCAAATCAAGGATGAAATACATTAATTAAAATATGTGACAACAGTGCAAGATGCACAATGTTGCTTGTTCTTTATTTAAAAGGTTAATGGTTATATATATATATATATGTTGTTTTTATATTTGGGATTGTAGGAAACGGTATTTCGATCTCTGTCTGTATACACAAACTGGAAGATTGACAATAAAGTTGACTTTGACTAAAGAAATAAAATAATACATTGAGTCAAACATTGATGAACTGGACTAGGCCTCTCTGTTTTGTGCAACCAAGCCATCTAACAGAATGCATGAAACTAGATGATGTTATCACCCAAGCTGGTCGCACAATCATTTTGACTTTGAGTAAAGTGTGAATGCTCAATGCGTTAATGCTGTATCATAAGACAAGATACACTCATCAAAGCAACACTGTATAACTTTCAGCCGTGAAGCCGAGACACATGGCTATGAATAGTTTCTACAGCTCCTAATTATCTTGTAATAAGGGTTTTGTGTATGAAACACTGGTCCGTTTTTAGGTCCTAAAACCTCTTAACTATAATAATAACTGATGGAAAAAATATTTTGGGATAAGCGATGTTGTTGAGGTGCCATATTCGACCGCTTCTATTTTAAACAAATTATTAGTGTCTCACAATGACACACCATTCAACTGAACCTTTGCTTCACCGGACAACTCAAAAAGCAAAGATAAGATCTGGTTTTCAGGTGGTTCAATGTTAGCATGAGTGTCAGATCCTTGATACATATTGAGGAAAACAAATGGAGTGTAAAGATAACTTTGTTTTTTGTTTAGTTTTCCCTCTACAACATGGTGTGACTACCATCACCTGTTCATCCTCTCACCTATTGTGATTATTTCTGTCTTAAGGCACTTTTGTTTTGTCTATCAGAACCAGTTGCTCATTGAGGACAGGTGTCCAGTGTTTATTTTCCTCTTAGTTTAATTTTCAGTAGACCAGGGTCAAAAGTTCAACTGTTAGCAATTACTTGGCAGCTCAAGGTTGCTGGAACGTTCTATAGCTTTGAAGGCAATGCGATGCCACAGGAGGAGCCTCACAGCTGTCCAAAGGAGTATCTGGCTTCAGATGGTAATAATAGCAGCAGCTGCCATACTTTTAAAACAATAAAGGCTGTCTACTTCACATCCTTGTGCTAGACTTCTCCTGGCCATACAGTTATTGTATTTGTTCGACCAGGGAAATTAACTAATGCCCAAGTTACGTTTTGTAAAAATTAAATGTGGGTGTTTTATTACACTAAACTGTATTCAAATCTGAAAATGTTGAATTATCAGTTTGCAGAACATTCAAAGTGCAGTTTCCTCTGTCTTGGGACTCTGGCACCAGACAGATTGCTCTCTAGACCAGACAATTAACATCCCATTTTCCCCTGGCACTGAGACGAAACTCAGAGTAAATGAAGTATTTCATTTCAAGTCATGAAACATTTGTGGAGGAGCCATCAAAGATACTTTGCTGTAGCTCTGCAACATAGATTTATTTTTTACCCAAATGTTTTATTTCATTTAGGAAAGTCTGAAATTGTACCCACAGTGGCTATAATAAATAATAGAGGCAGGGTTCTTAAATTACAGGCCACACACTATAAACGTAGGCGCGTTAGCAACTGCCCAAACAACAATTAAGCAGATCCCAGTCTCCACTTGGGAAGAGGTCGGGTACTGTCTTAATTAAGTTCTTACAAATGAAAACAAAGACAGGCAACATATTCACTTCCACAGCTACTTGTAATTTTGAGTGTCCAATTCATCCAACATGCAGGACTGTGGAAAAACCATGAACATACAGGAAGATCATTCAAAGCCCCAGCCAGCTACCATTACATTAGAATGAAAACCTAACATAAATTAAGTGAACACTATTAAAGATCATTTGAGCTGTCTAGGTTATAAAATGTAAAAAAAATTGTCACTGTGGTGTGCTTCCAGATTAGACAGCCACAGCAATCATTTGTTGCTGTGACAGTGTGGCCAATTTTAATTTCCCCATGGAAATATGCAATTCTGTTTTCCATTCACGAACAAAATGTTTGCCCTTTTTGGCCCTATTTGAGAAATTGTTTTGAAAAAAGAAGATGGTAAACGGCGTTAGCAAACAGTAATGTGGCTGTTTTTGTCTAAAGAGCTATCGAGGGAATGGGTTGACCTTATCTTGCTGCTCAGAATAGAGTCAAAGGGGTCACTCACAGCGTTAGTGTTATCACAGCATAAGTGTGTTTTCTATCAGTGGCATTTATTTTAGGCGACTGCGGGGCACGAACAACCCACATCTGGGACTGTCTCTGTATTGTCCTTTTTAGTTTTAGATTTCTAAAAACTGATCTCTTTTTACTGAGCTAGGGAAAATAAGACATTATTATTTACAAGCTTAGTAGCAAAACTATATTATTCAAACAAAGCACTATTGATTACATTTTTCTAATTTGATTATGTAGGTTAACATGGTTCTATATGTTATTGGTGATTTAAAAAGCCCGAGCTGCTTATACATCGCTGAATGTCCCTTGAATGAAAGTAGCTCATAGACTCAGAGCCACTGAGCCAGTTCTGAATATGGTATTTGAGGATTTTCATGAAACTTGTTATTTTACCTAATTACTCATTTTCTGTTACACATCATTGAGAATACTTTAGCAAAAATTACCATTACAGCTTGCTGAAGAATTTTGAAACTATTCCTTGAGCATGAAGTGCTTTATCCTCCCCGAACACACATGATGGGACAAGACGGAAAAATAAACCCTGTCTTAAGTAATTGGACACGTAGGCCTGATCTGATGATGCTATGTGACTATTTTTTCTCTATTTTTCTATCTCTTATCCTATCTCCTTCTCTAGTGGTTGCCTAGAGACCTGCAGTAGGATGCATGGAAATTGCAGATAAAGGTCAGGCAAACCTTGGAGAAGTTAGTCATCCAGTGTGTGGAGGTGTTAGTGGGATTACAGTGGATATGGCAGAATGGTGAAGGATTTTTTAAAACACTCCACTATAACATGTTATCTTGTTCTGATCCATGGGACGTTTGCAGTTTGAATGACAGATGGTTATGAGGGTACTCATAGTTCTGATGTCATCAAGTAGGACTAATTAAAAAAACACAATGGGATTTGAAGTGTCTGTCAGTTGTTTTGCACTCATTGTTACCTAAACTCACCCTTGGCCTTAATAAAATAAAGACAGGAAAACACTGCAGCAGTTTTCTCATATGAGCAGTTTCCCTTTCACACATGACGCACACAACAGGAGATTGTGGTTCACATTGGAAGCACTCAGTTTGGATGAGGGATGGCAACTGGGTAGGGAAAGCATGGGGCACCACATGACGCCATTACATAGCAGTCATTTAGCTGGCTTGTAATTTTGTCAACCGAGTTTGATGCCGATCCTTGAATTTGCTTAACCAATAAGGCGTCGGCACATACAGTCTCATCAGTCAGACAGTTTTGTTGGCGTTTTTGTGTGCGTGAATGCTCCGGGTTATTCACACATGGGCTCAATTGAAAATGACTCAGACTCATCGAGCTCCAGTTAATCACAAGATAATTTCCGGGTTACAGAGATTTTTTCTCTTTTCCTTTTCCTATGGTTTGTTTCAAATGGAACCATGTTATTTTTACACTCTAAAAATGTTGTATGACAATCAAGACTAATCACTTGCTTTATTCTCTTTCTCTGCAGGTATGGCCTCACAAGTCTTGGTCTACCCACCACACAGTTATCAAACCCAGACAAGTGCCTTTAGCAGTGTGAAGAAACTTAAAATTGAGCCCAATAGCTGTGTTTACCATGAGAGGGCACACCCGTGGATTTATCTGAACGGCAGAACCTTTGGCATTGTGCACCCAACCAAACAAGCCCACTCGTTTGTGAACCGAGACTTGGCAGGGGGCGTGAAAGTGCGTGGACGACAAGAGTACCCGATACAGACGGTGGTGGTGCGTGGTGTCCAGAGACAACAACCTGGTAAAAGAGGAGGAGGGGGACAAGGCCCAGCTGGGGCCCGGCAGCGACAGGACGCAGGGGTTGTCCACTCGCAGGGCAAGGAGCAGCAGCAGCAGCAGCAGCAGATAGAAACAGCAAGTAGGGGCAGCAGTGGAGCAACAGGGGCAGGAGGAGGGGGAAGGGGAGAGGGCTGCAGTGGAGGACGTGAGGGAGGTGGAGAGGAGGAGGGTGACAGAGAAGAGAACTGTGGAGGTTTCAACTCAGCCGACAGCTCTCAGCGATGTGGGCTGAAACGTAAAAGTGAGGAGCTGGATAACCGAGGGAGCACCATGCAGATTGTGGAGGAACTGTCAATGTTGCCTGCCATGATGCAAACGACGAATGTGGGGAACGCAACCATGACTGCGCCTGCGGCCGTGGGGGCTGGAGGCGGCCCCTCCAAACATGGGGTAGGTGCAGCAGGAGGAGGGGACGGGGACTACCAGGTGGTGCAGCATGAAGTCCTCTGTTCCATGAAGAATACTTATGAAGTGCTGGATTTTTTGGGACGTGGCACGTTTGGCCAGGTTGTAAAGTGCTGGAAGAGGGGCACGGGGGAGGTGGTGGCGGTGAAGATCCTGAAGAACCACCCTTCATATGCACGGCAGGGTCAGATCGAAGTCGGAATCCTCGCTCGTCTCAGTGGGGAGAATGCGGACGAGCACAACCTGGTGCGGGCCTTTGAATGTTTCCAGCACCGCAGCCACACCTGCCTGGTGTTTGAGATGCTTGAGCAGAACCTGTACGATTTCCTGAAGCAGAACAAGTTCAGCCCGCTGCCCCTGAAAGTGATCAGACCTGTGCTACAGCAGGTAGCCACAGCTCTGAAAAAGCTAAAGAGCATGGGTCTGATTCATGCCGACCTCAAGCCGGAGAACATCATGCTGGTGGACCCAGTGAGGCAGCCCTACAGGGTGAAGGTGATAGACTTCGGCTCTGCCAGTCATGTGTCCAAGGCAGTGTGCTCCACGTACCTCCAGTCTCGGTACTATAGGTGAGTACAAAATGAACAGAGAGATTTTTTAAATCTTTTTTAAACAGAGAAACTTAGAGTTGATATTCAAATGTCAGGCTCTGTTGGTGTCCAGAACGCCATGGTCGGGTTAAAAATGTCCTTCCTCTAGCAAAACAAGGAAATGTCTCCCAAACTGCACAACATCCTGTCTATTTAAGAGCGACATACCACAGACTTTGAGAAAATGTGACCCTGCAGAGTTCACTAGCAGACTCCCTGTTAATGTTCACAATGCCTCGGAAAGAAAGCTTTGTTTAGCATTTCTTTAAGACTATAAGAAAAAAAAAACGAGTTGAATTGACTTTGTGGACAATTGTGGTATTATTTACCCTCAGGGCTAAACCTGAGGAGTGAAAGGGAATCACAGAGATTATGTGATGATAGAAAAATAATAGATATACCAATATGTGAAGAATGTTAATACATCTACAGTTAAATTAAGTCAAAAAAGAGAGAGATAAATTAAAGAATGTTATTACAAACTTAAGTATGCTGTTACAGGGTATGACAGGGCAGTAGATACAGTCCCTTATGTTTATGTTAGGAGGAGGTCTGTGTTTCTGCTCTTGGATGTGCACTAGGAAAATGGGCAGGACAAATTACCTTTGGCTTTATGTTATAAGTGCTTTTGGCTTGATTAGAAAAGCAGGCCTGAAATGGTTTCAACTGTTAGGTAAGTTGTTTTACGTTTCCTACTTTGCATACAGACTCTAAAATGAGAATGTATAAACTCAAGCAAATTGTCACAAATAGTCTCATCAGATAATATCCAGTAATTTGCATGAGTTTCTGTGCAGAGTTTGACATAGTTCCTCTTAGCTGCTAGGAGTGGCACTGGCACCACTAATGGTTGGTCAATGATTTAAATTCAGACTTTGGAAGCTGGTGTACACTTTCACTAGCGTTCATTAGAAGAAGAAGTAATAGTGATTGAATCATTACACCTTCCTTGGACCTTTTCTAATGCACACGGAATGAACTGGGACATTAATCGCCCAGAGTTAGAACTGTGCTCTCGCACAGCTGTGAGGATGCAGTGAAAATGCAAAGTTTGTTACATTAAATCCATTGAAAAGGTGCATATTCAACCACATACCCCCCCCCCCTCTACACCAGCTGTATTTCATTATTCCATCTTACATAACAAGTATGCTACCTTTTTAACCAACGCACCTGTTTACACTGGCCCTGAAATGTCTCACGCTTCAATTGCACACGTCTATAGAATCTATTTGCCTCTGTTTGCACATTTGCACATGCAACTAGATTATAAACTGTGATCTCTGACATTTTAGAAATAGAATGTAAACATGTTATATATGTTCATTATTTGCATTACTGTCGGGGGTATACCACAACATACACCTGTATTTGCTCGGGGCAGCCATATGTAATGCTAAATATCTGAGAGCTCCACAGTTGGTGCAATAGGAATTGGTATACCATGTTTAAAATGAATATTAAAAAACTTACAAATGGAGAACAAAATAACTTTTAAATAATGTTTAAGGTTTCATCCAAGTAAAATAAGTATTGTATAATTATTGTTTGGAAATCGTCCAAAAACAAATCCAATGTTAAACAATAATTAAACAGTAATAATAAACATATGTCAATGTTTCAGTGGGGGGGGGGTTGTGCTAGTGAAGCAAGCTCATGAACTTTTTGCCGGAGCCCCGCAGCAGGGTTACTGCGGGGCGCATGAAGCAGACCCTTCACGCGATAACGGAGCAAACAGGTAAAGTAGGGGCCGTTGTCCACTAGTTAATCGATTACGGATGGCGTCGTGCTCGCGGACGGATACCATTTTTAAAAACCTAAATGGTTCATGAAATATACTTTGGCGGACCGCCCAAGCAAAGTCTATTTGTGGGAAACCCTGTATGTTATGACATGTTTTTTTAAGGTTTGTAACAAGATAGAGAAGCGAGCTTAAGTTAACTGCACTGCAGTAAAAAAGACATGGTTTGATTCCCACTGGTGGCATATTGTAGGTCAGGCAACATCTACCATTATTGGCAACCAGCCCTATTCTCTTTCTACCATGATAGCATCCTATAATAGGTAAGATGTTGACTAGGCAGCTGCTTGATGCTGTGGAGTGATTTCATGATCAATTTGCTCATCCACTCTCACAAAGTCCTTGTACCACGTTTTGCCCCATGGCAAGCGCCTCACCCTCAAGTCGGTATCTAATTTCAATGAGTTGTGATCTCGTAGTCAAGTGAAAGACAACTTTACATAACTTCAGATCTTACTAAATCAACAGATGTTTGTAAAGAGAAATATATTATTTGAGTGTTAATGATGATGTAAAGCACTTTGAATTGGCTCTGTGTCTGAAAATGTGCTATATAAATAAACGTACCTTACCTCTAGGTTTAGACATTTAATGAACTTCGCCAATGTAAGACTCAACGCATTGCAGATCAAAAGCCTTAAGGAATCCATATGGAAACAGTCAAAACTTAGTCGATACCGAACTGCAGTTTGCTAACCATATCTTGACCTTAAAACATTCTGTCCCTGTTCTCAGCTAAATAAATCAGGAATGTCTCCTGGGGCCTCATTTATAAATGGTGTGTACGCTCAAAAGATGGCGTTCGCCAGTTTCTAAGCAATGTTTGCGATTTATAAAACGCACATGCTGCAGTGGAGACGCTGCCCACAGCTGATCGACAGCTGGAACACAAACCACCAAATAAAAATAAAAACATTAATTGACTCCACTCCGCAGGGATCCCCCTTTCTTACAGTTTCTCATCATGGGGGGGGGTCTCCTGTCCCCGGCCCAAACACACTGACACACTGCCTGAAGAAGGTTATGTGTATTTTGTCATTAACTTTTTTCGGACCACTTATTTATTTATTTTGGTGACGATCCGACCTCCTGAGCTACTCTGGTTCAAACTGCATCCACCAAACAAACAATGTGATTTGTCTCCACCTTACGCCGGTGCGTAGTGTTTTATAAATCGGAAAATGTCTGCGTATTTATTTAGGTAAGCAACCTTCCAACGTGAATCCTACGCAAGGCTTTATAAATGAGGCCCCTGGTCACAGTTTCTTACAGATTGACACGGTATGGCAAGAATATCTTGAGATATACTCAGATGGTGAGATTAAGGCAATTTGGTGGTACAGATTGTGCGTTTTTGTGTCTTGGTTTCAGAGGCTCAGAAGAAGTGAGGATTTATGAGCCACGTTCAGGTTAGTCTTAGCTGTTTTCAGTGAAAGGCATTTACATGCATTTGAATAATTCTCACTGCCTTCACACTGAGCCAGCGAAGCAGTTTGTTCTGCAGGGAATGAAAATACTGTCCGTGAAAATTCATGTAAATAGATGATTTGATGTCTGTCTCTATTCACATTACCATAGCTTTCCACACTGACCAAAGGGAGAAAACAATGTTTTTACCTATTTCTCTGCTTTTAGTTTTATGGTGTCAGTTGAAAAATACTTGTAAGTGAAACCTTAATTTTGCATTCTCTTTTCATCATTCTTGTGAATATTTTAGGAAGATACTCAAAATAGAACTGCACTTTGCTGTACATTTGCAGGGGAGGAAGTGAAAAGTGCAGCTGCTTCAACTGCGTTAGTCAGTTCTGTCAACTTTGGTGACCAGCACTTCTTTCACAGATGTTGCATAGTGATGTATTTTGATTCACAGATGGGAAGATGGTTTGATAAACAAGTGATTCATGTGGCAACATCTTTTTGCCAAAAATAAAAAACAAGAAGCCTTCCATATTATACCCATCTCTTCATCCTCATGTGGTCGGGGTATGCAGCGTTTACATCAGCATTTGTTTATACCAAAGCAAATGAATATAGAAAATATGGTTTCACCAGTCTTGTTATACAACAATACTGGTCATAGGTTTGAACAAAGCGGTAGTTTCATTCTATTCTTTATGCACTTTAGTATGTATTTATATATTTGAATATTTTCCATGTATTTCTCATTTGAGTCTCTTTTTAGGACACAGTTGTTCAAAACAAAACACTCACAGTTGGAAATTGCTTTGTAAAAATGTGTTTGCATTTTGTACCCCCTCACAGAAAGGAGTATGCTAAGCATACTGTGAGCGAACAGCGTTGCTGAGGCTAGAGTGAAGGGTTGCCTGAAATAGCTCCTGGGATGCCGGCCAGTGGGCTTTGACTTCTATAGATGGTGAAGCACATAGGCAGCCAGAATGAAATAGGGACAGCTTGAAATACTAGAGAGCTCTCACTTACTCACTCAAGGTCAACCATATCTAACGTCAGCTGTTTTGATTTTCACATGTCCATTTGTGTTGTGTTTTGAAATGTGCCCAGCAATAAATATTAGTTGTCCATTAATCTAAAGTGGCTGGTGGATACCTTAAATCTATCACCCACTCAAAGCAACACGTTTGACAGCTACATCTGCCGCTTCCACAATTTACAAGCATTTGGCCAGATGCAGCTCGTAATTTGCAATCCTGATTTGAACAGTCAGCTAAGTTTTTATTGTATTGGATATTTAATGAGGTTTCGACATACATATTAAACAAAAATAATTACAAACGATAGGCAAATAATCTTGGCAGATTTAGATCCGAATTTGCAGTAGCGTTCATTAAAACCTTTCTCCCCCATGCAACAATTCGGCATAGACTTAATGGAAAGATCTACTACGGATTGCCCATGTTGGACAGGTACCTCTATGAAATTATTTGCCATAGGGGATTTACTTTTCAAGGAAAAGTAAATCTGGCATTATTACAGAATGAGCCAGTTATACCCCAGACAGTCATTATACATATTTTTGTGTGTGGGGGACCTTGTTTGAACTATACTTCTGTGGGTTAGTGGGTAATGAGTGTTTCTAAGTATTTATATGGACTAAGTAGCTTGCCAAAGTAGCTTGCAATGTGTTATTTAGCAAGACTATAAATTATGCATCAAGGTTAGTTGCTATGTTTCGCCACATTGTGTGTTTTATTTACAAGAT